GCCCACCTGAAAGCGTATCAGGGTCCCAAATAGCATCCAAAATTAAATCAGAGTCCAAGGCAAAGTATTGCTCAAAGTTCCAATTTATTAAGAGAGCCATGTTGGCACATCTGGGAAAACCCGAATTTGAAAGCTTCCCGGTTTTCACCACACAGTTGAAAGTTCATGATCTTGTCCCCACACCCACAAGTTCATCACATGGTCCAATCTTCCACTGCCGTGCTGGCAGTTCCGCCCATCCAATTCCGGTCAGGTGCAGAGGCGCAGAGACAAAGAATGACCTTGGATTCTAGAAAGGGATTTTATTTTGGCTACATAGCATTAACTCCGTACCATCCCCTCTCCCATTTTCCCACAATAGAAACGGCATAGTAGAATAATAGAAAGTGTGGCAGGCCAAAAATCCCAAAGGAATATGGCTGAAAGCATGACAAGGAGGAGCTGATTCAAATGGCCCACCCCAATATAGATATAGATCCAAAAGATTTTCAGATAGTTTCCACTTCCCCCACCCCAAAAAAAAATTGGGGAGCCTCTGGAATACAGATTGATCAGGGCATTAACCTGGATTGCCTCAGAGCAGCTGTTTCCTGTCCACTGATCCTGTATAGGCCCTTGGGTCTCTGAAGTACTTCAGTAAATGAAGTACATGAAGTGATGGCTGGAGCAATACTAGCTGAGAAGCAAGTATGCCTGGATATGGGTCTTAGCTCAAAATGGAGCCTCACTACTTTTTTATCCTTATTACCGTGTTTCCCCGAAAATATGACATGTCCTGCTAATAAGGCCAGGCCTGGTTTTTGAGGTGGGTATAAATATGCCGAAAATAAGCCCTATTGAAAGGGTGCCATGGCAAGTACAGGAGGAAGCCCTTCCCTTCCCCGGTCACCTCAGCGCTTCTCAGATCCTTAATCAGATCAGTTGAGCCGATCCGGCTGCCATTCAAAAAACAGTTGATTGTGGCTCAGGTCGTGGCCTCTGGCAAGTGCGGCTGCTTTTGCCATCAATTGCAGCCACAAAAGCAGCAGGAGGCCAAGTGATGCACCCCACGCGCCTTGCACCGGCCTTCCGAAGGGTACTGTAGCAGCAGCTGTCCACAATTTTTTTATCATTATTTCGTCCCAATCCACGTGGCCCAGTGAGCCATGTGGATCAGGACAAAATAAGGGTAAAAAAATTGTGGAAAGCTGCTGCTACAGTACCCTTTGGAAGGCTAGCTTGAGTCTCCTGCTGCAAAAGTGGCTGCGCCTGAGACTGCTTTTGGGAGAGGAGGCAAAGGGGAAGCAATCAGCTTTATCTCGCCCTTGCCCTCAGCCCCCGCTTCAGCTGAGCTCAAGCAGAGAAGTGGCCCACATGGTTTCAGGAGCAAAGTTGAGGCTGACAGGAGTCAGGGCAGGGAAAAAAGTTCAGGGCAGCTCCAGCACTCTTCTTTCCTTGGAAACGGGATCTTGGGAGTGGGAAATGGCATTCCCAGGAAAGTGAGGGAGCCAGCAGCCGTAGATTAAGGAGCTTTGTGAAATGTTATGCCTACACACAAAGTTTGGCGAGGGAGGGAGAAGAGATAATTCCCTCTCTTGGCAGAGTTTTGCTTGAAAATATTTGAGAATCAGACCAGAGAGAAGGAAGAATGAGCCCTACGAGGAGATTCTGCCGAAGCTGCCGCTTGCGGACACAGACAGAGTGGAGTTCATTGAAGACCTCTCTGACCAGCCCACAAGACTATCTGAAGGTGGAGAGGGGGAGATTTCCTGCACATTAGCAGTGGCATCTTCTCACATGGCTTCTTCCGACATCCCCAGTTGTATGGATTTCCATGCCTTCCTTTACGGGATGTTGCTTCGCACCTGGGACATCGGGAGAAGCCCTGTGAGGAGATGCCACTGCCAATGTGCAGGAAATCCCCCCCACCTGCAGATCATCCTTTCAAAACATAGTTTCACCAGGATGAAGAGGTGGCTGGAGGTGGCGTTTGCATTGGGTTGAGCTTTCTTTGCAAGGCGGATGATCTGGGGAGCAAGAGATTTAGGAAGCCTGGGCTGGCGTGGGGCCATTTCTCTAGTGAAGCATCTGATTCATCCCCAGGGGTGAACGTTTCACCCTTCGCCATCTCTCTGCCCTGGCTTGGAAGCTGCAGTGGAAGCCTGCCTTGCCCGGCAAGGGGGGCAGAGAAGTGACAGCAAGAGGAGCCATGTCTCGGTCCACACCTCTCACTTCTCCCCCACCCCACCTGCCACCCCTCTCACTAAAGAGACAGTGGGGAAGGGAAGCAGCCTGGATTCTATTACCATTGGGGCGGGGTGGGAAAAGTTGGGCTGCAAGACACGCGTCCTACCTGAGACTTGCAGCTCCGTGGTGCTGTTTTGTACAGGGAAGTTGAACTCATGAGGGGTTTTTTTATGCGGTGCTTCCCTGGACAAAACAGCAAGAAACACGATGGAGCTGCAAGTCTTGGGTAGGACGCGTGTCTCACAGCCCAACTCTCCCACCCCGCTAAAGAGTGGAGGAGAAGTGAGAGGTGTGGAGCGAGACATTGCTTCTCTTGCCGTCTCTTCTCCCTCCCCCCTCACCGGGCATGGCAAACTTCCTCTGCAACTTCCAAGCCAAGGAAGAGAGGAGGCAAAACGATCACCCCTGGGGATGAATCAGACGCTTCACTGGAGAAACTGCCCCACATCAGCTCAGGCTTCCTAAATCTCTCGCTTCCGCAGATTGTCCCCTTCGCAATGAAAGCCCAACCCAATGCAGGGTGGTGATGGGACACATCAGAGCAGTGCCATCCAGCTGCTTGGCCGGCGCAAAGAACAGGGAGGGGAGGTGATGGGAGTGACAGGACATGCAGTCCCATGCTTGCCGCCTCCTGCANCTGGCTGTTAAAGTGATAGTCATGTGTTTTTGATACTACATTTGAGTGTCTGGGTATGAGTCCCTTCCACCTTGGATTTCAAAGGATTTATCGAATGATGAAAAAGTACTGAAATGCCAACATTTGCAGATAGTGCAGTGCACAGATTCAGAAATAGTATAACTCTGAGTTATCTTATAGGATCTTGGAATCCTAGTGGACAATCACTTAAATTTGAGCCAACAATGTGCAGCCGCTGCCAAAACAGTATCATTTCCCTCATTTCTATCAGAAATATTTATGTATTTCAGTAAAATTTTACATAATTACAAATATTATTGCTGATTGCAGTTAGACAAGGCTGCAGATAATATTTTTGCTGAAAATGGAAGAAAGTTAAAGTTCTAGTCCCAGCTTAAGCACAAAACCAGCTGAGTGATCTTGAGCCTGTCACTCTCCACTTTAGCAAAGCCATTTCTGAAATTTCTTTTCCAAGTAAACTGCAGAGACTAAACCAGGTAACACTGACTCAAAGGTACAGACCTACAAAAATTCAATAAATGGACACCAGGTCTTGGAAACCAATATTCGCACAAAGCCAACTAAAAAGCATGACTTCTCAAATGCAACGGAAAAAAATACTGCTCTTTCCCACCAGGCCCACACTTGTCTTGGAAAGACCTGACAAAAAAGCATCAGAGTTCATTCCAAAATTTGACATTCCTCAATGCAGGTTCATCATTGCTGCAATTTTTACATTCAGATGCCTTTTGTTTGCATAGAAATTGCACTGCCTCAGCATAAGATTGTTACTATGGTATTTGCTCTTTATATTCTCCTGATGTTCTGCACCATCACATTCCTAGAAAGGAATCACCGCTAAAAGGTTTATTTCTCTAATTGCTTTTCTTTTCTTCTGTTCACAGACCCTGTTCCATGGGATTGCAATCATTGGGAGCATTTTGCTGTACTTCGTTTTCTCATCCATCTACAATGCAACCTGTGTCCTTTGTAACCATCCCACAAATCCCTACTGGATTATGGAGATGGAATTTTCAGAGCCAAGCTTTTATTTCACAATCATTATTATGCCAGTTGTAGCACTTCTCCCAAGGTTTGACCAATGTTTTTTTTCTTACTTGTTCTTGTTTGAAATGCCACTCAATAACTAGCTTACCAGATCAAGAATTACAAAAATTGATTAAATGTTGTCCCAGGAAACACAAAGCCTTATCTCTTGCGATATGGTATTTTTTAAGCAAGGTCTTAATCAGATGTTGCAAATAAAGCAACCGGTACCATGTAAAATCTGATTTCCAGAGAAAAGTCCCAGCAGATGTATCCTTACTTGTCTGTTTTTTCCCCCATTCTCCACAAAAACCTGCCAGCCAAGAGCCAGTTCCTTGGTATAGCTGTCATTTTATGGAAGGGAAGCTTAAAAACTCTTGACAGCCCACATCCTTTAATACAGTGCAACTTTCTCTGTGCAGTTTGGAGAAATTGAGTTGACATGCCTTGCTAGAACATAAAAGCTTTGTTGTGTTGTGTGATGCCTTCCTTTTTCTCTCTCTCTTTTGAGAGGCAACCCTTGAGTACTTCAAAGAAAAAAATATGTTTCCATGTTACAGCTAGTGTCACAGCTCAGACTTCTCCAGCTGTCATATGATCCTTAGAAATAGCACAAAGATCAACTCTCTGCTTCTCCCTCTTAACACCCAAGGTCTAAGGGTTATGAAAAGAATTCCCTCAGGAAGCCTTATTCTTCATGAGTCCTGCTTTAATCTCTTACTACAAAACACACATTGATTTGAGGGCAGAACATTTTAGCTTCTTTCCATAACATTGCATTCCTATGAATTTTCTGTAAAATGAGAAGTTTTTTGCTTATTGTAAAACTGATAGAGAGTGGGGTGCCACAAAGTGCTGCAATAACAGAAGGAAGCTTGAATAAATGCATCCTAATATATTTTAAAATGTTGGTTTTTGGTATTTACATGAGCAAGCCTTGATAAACTTCAGAGTTGTTCGCTTGTTTTCTTCTTCTTTCCTGCTGTAACTGTAAGAAGAGCAGAAGTGTCCTCTTCTTTTCATAACAGATCACTGATATCCAAAATCCAGACAAAAGTATGGGCAATACTATGCATGGTGTCCGAAATAAGACAATTTCAAAATGTCTTTTATAAAGCTGCCCTATTTCAAAAAAACAGAATAGGCCTCTTGTATATATGACTGTCCGAGACATTTGGGGCAACTGGCAATTTCTCATCTTGCTATTGCTGCTGATTTACTGCTAGTCACTGCACTTGCTGTAACATTTTCCATGAATCCCTGCATTTGTCACCTTGCAGCTGTTATCACTAATGTTGTATAGAATGTAGGCTGCCTTTACTGCTTCTTCTGCAGCTTCTTCATACCAGAACCAGGAGGAACCTTCTGCACATCTGTGTCTTTGGAATCAGTTGCATTTGCTTTGCTATCTTGCAGGGAGAAATGGGGACCAAAAAAATCCTCAGAAGTCACAGATCTCTTGAGTTGAGTCACACAAAGAAGTGAGGATGGGCTGATCAAGAGCAGAAATGACAGAAGAGTGATGGAGGACTTGGTAGAAGCTATGACAGTTTAACCTACCCTTCCCTGCAATCTTGACCACACTAAGATTTCTGGAAAGGGAAAACCATATCTGTTGATATAATACAGTTACAGAGAAATATCCTTACCATGGGCTGTGATCCACAGACTGGCATAACTAAACCATTTTTTCCTGAAACCTAGCAGCTGGCCTTAACATGGTTGAATGGCAGTTTGAAGTTGTCCATAATCATCAAACAAAACCTTAGCCCAAGAACAGGCAAGATAATCTATTCTATACATTCTGGATTTTATTTCCAAATTATCTTGCTATGTCTGAACTGATGTGAGTTATGCCTTATTTGTTCAGATAGTATCAGGTTACCTATGCATCTTTAGCCATGGCACCACCTTAGCAGGTAGATGGAAACCACCATTGTGACAGATCTTTTGTGACACTAACTTTCATAAAATTATGAGTTTCCTCATTCTAGCTTTTGTTCCCTTTTTGTATCTTTGTCTGTACTTTGCAAAAAGTGCCTTTGGAATCCATACTGTATGTGTGGTATTTTGGAACTGTTATCTGTAGACAGTGGAATCTTTGTATGAATGACTAACTAAAAACATAATTCACATTATACATCTACCACCTACAAAATGAGTGAGTGAGATAGCTTATTATTGAAAAAATAACTGTTTTTCTTTGCTTTCCCTAGATATCTTATATTGGCTCTGCAAGGGACTTTTAAAATATCCTGCATCCTGAAAGCACAACAACTGGAGAAGTTGCCAAAAGAGCAACAGGACTGTGAAATACAGAAATGGAAGCTGATAAAAGAAGGCCCAGCAATCCACAGTGAAGATCCTAGTCAACTCAGTGGAAATATTTGTGATCATGTAGCACTCAGGCTTCCCGAGACCAGTGTTCCTCAGGGCCTAGGGCCTCTGCAGAAAGAAATGCTTGAAGAAAGAACTTTGAATGAGGAAGCCAAAGATGATGCCAAAAGATGCATCCAGAAAGAGACTGGACAACTTACAGCTGTGGAGCCATTTACTGGCCAAATCCCCCAGAACACTGAAAGTTCTCGGCAAAGCCATCGGAGGTCTGTGAGTGCAGTGACTTTGTGAAGGAGGCACAACTTTCAAGAAGGAAAAGTAAAAATTGATTGCTTTCCCAGCCTCTCTCTCCACAAATAAGGGCAATGGAAGGAAAAATAGGATTCCTTTTTTATGTTACATGGCAGCAAAGTCCAGATGGGAGACCTAAAATAAAATTTCATCAGTATAACCAGGAACTGTGTTTTGACTATACAGTGCAAGACATCTTGGATGCATATGGCTATATATTTCTCAGGGGGAGGGGCAGAGGAGAAAGGTTCAAATAGCTTAGAGGACAATTGCACAAGATTTCCTTTGTGGGGACTTGAAAATAGAAGGGCTGTTTCTTTTCACCAATGAAATTTCAGAATCATGCCACATTTCTGCCTTACTGTTGAGTAAGAGTTAAAACTGCAACATCTTAGAGTAAAATGATTCATGTTTAAAGATATAAAGAAATAAGCCATTAATCTAGATATTTTAAGTGAGAATCTAAAACTGTTTTGAGGGGATTTTTTAAAATAAATCTGAAATATACTGTATGGACATACATAATATATGTTGCATATATGTATACTGTATGTGAAAAACTGCACATGCCAAATTGCTCTTCAGTGGTCAGATAGTTGTTTAGTTCTTTTGGGTAACTAGCAACCTAATCACTTAATTCCATATTTGGAAGTAAAGTTTGTTGATTTCTCAGGAATTATCAGCCAAGATATATTTTTAAGAGCTTTACCTCTTCTTTGAATGGGATGCTGAGGAAGGAAGGTGGACCATCGATCGGGGCAGAGGTGGCTTCTGGCAGGCACTACTGCCAGTTTGTTTGTGGGTGTGCTGTGCGCGCATGTGCAGCACAATAAAAAATGTTCTGTGCATGCGCAGAAGTGAAAAGCAAGATGGCGGTGCTTACAGCACTGCCCAGAGAACCGGTTCAGGGATGTGGCAAGCCTGGGTCATTGCCAGTTCCAGTGACACAGGCTGCCAAGCTACTACTGGTTCATCCAAACTGGGCCAAACCGGTAAGAACCCACCACTGATCAAGGGTCTAGGAAGCAAAGAGAACTCCTATGAAG